CAAAGTGGAGACTCCCTAGTTAGAGGTTAGTTGGTGGCTTCTGATTGATAAAGTCTCTAGTTACAGATTAGAAGTTTCGTTTCACGGTTTATTATATTGAATTGGGTTTTGGTTTGCTTAGGTAGGAACCCAAGGCACTGAAGCTGTCTCAGCCTAGTGGCCTCCCAATTTATTAACATTCCTTCAAAAATGATTTTTGAATTTTTTAATGATTCTTAAATAGATACAATTACTAGCTAAAATTTTCTGGAAAGTTTACTTTAGATGACTCATTCTCCAAGGTTGCAAATAAAAAAATTGCAAGCAATAAGCCCAGGTGTGGGGGCTCATGCCTATAATCCCAGCACTTTGGGATGCTGAGGCATGCAGATCACGAGGTCGAGAGATCGAGATCAACCTGGCCAACTTGGTGAAACCCCATCTCTACTAAAATAAAAAAATTTTTTTTTTTTAAATAGCAGGTCATGGTGGCGTGCACCTGTAATCGCAGCTACTTAGGAAGCTGAAGCAGGAGAATCACTTGAACATGAAGGCGGAGGTTGCAGTGAGCAGAGATCACGCCACTGCACTCCAGCCTGGCAACAGAGTGAGATTCCGTCTCCAAAAAAAAAGAAAAATATTAGTTGGGCGTGGTGGCATGTGCCAGTATTCCCAGCTACTTGGGAGGCTGAGGCAGGAGAATTACTTGAATTTGGGGGGCAGAGGTTGTAATGAGTCAAGATCATACCAGTGCACTCTAGGCTGGGCAACAGAGCAAGATTCTGTCTCAAAAAAAAAAAAAAAAAAAAAAAAAAAACACAAGCAATAGCTATTGCAGTACAAACATTTCACACAAGACAGCTTGTATGAAAGAGCTAATTATGTGACTAACATTCCACATTTACCAAGCTCCATTTATTATCATGGTTATTATTTCTCCTGAGAACACAAATGAAAGAAAATTTATCACTAAGTACCGCATTCATGTGCCAGTGGAGGAAGGCTAGTTAGAACCGGCAAACCACTCGAATTTGTGTTACATATACCTAAGTTGAGTCTCTGCCAAGTTCTTGCACCAGTTAATTTTTGACTGTTTTCCTTATGACTCTTGTTTAAGGAAGGCAGCATTTCTAAAGTGGCCCCCAAAAGATATCCTCTCCTAAATCTCCAAAACCTGTGAACAGGAAGAGACACTCCAATGATTTATGTTTTAGTCAATGAGATTATCTGGAGATTCCACACACTGAAGCTGACTTGACGATGCAAGGGGCCACCTAAGAAAGCATAAAGGTGACCTTAAGAAACTGGGAGAGGCTCCTGGCCCATAGCCAGCAAGCAAACAGGGATTTTAATCCTATGACCCCATTGAACTGAATTCTGGCAATAACCCAAATGAGCTAGGCAGATTACTCCACAGAGCCTCAAACAAGTACTCAGCCCCACTTGATTTCAGCTTGGGGATGCCTGGAGCAGAGAACCCAGCCACAATTCTGACCCACAGAATTGTGAGATTATAAATGGGTGCTGTTTTAACCTACCTTGTGATAATTTGTTATGCAGCAAAAAAAACCTAAGGTATTATGGCTCAACTAATGAAGTCAAAAATCCAGAAATTTTTCACCCCTAAATATCCTAGTTTTGGGAACCATGTCTAAACATAAACCAAGATCACTTGAGTGAATTTGAAATTTAAGGGAGCAAATAGCCTTATTAATATCTTAATAAAGCAATATTAAAAATTAATTATCCTACTATTAAAAACTCATTTCTGGGTCTAAGACTACCAGAAATTATAGGAGCTGGCTTTTCTTTTTTTAAGCCCTTTTTTTTTTTTTAAAATAAGGGGCTTAAAAAGAGGGAATGTGATTACTGGAGGGGAGATACGTCTACTGTAACAAGTAGAAAGGAACATATTACAATTGTCAACAGGAAGAACTACAATTAAATGTGAATTATTTGGTTCAAAGAACAGCTCTAATAGATTCTTGTGGCTGAATAACTGACTGGCAAACTTCCTGCAAGCTTCCAGTAACTGGCCCTTTGTCCCCAAGCCATGCTGTTGAAATTAAATAGACAGTCCTTAATGACCTTTTAATGTTTATTTGGAGACAAGGCATAAACAAATAGACTTCTCCCAAAGTGTCCCACAGTGTAAAATATTTTTCAATTTGGTTAAGACAGTTTTTTTCCACAATAAAAGGCAAGATGCAAAAAAGTTTATATATTGCAATGTGTATAAAAAGAATTTCAAATGTTAAAACACCTAGATATATTTTACCTTCAGATCAATAATTTTAAAAGCATTTTTCACCCCCAAAAAACATCTTTGCCTAGCAAAATTAGTTACAAAGTCTAGGCAATGTAGGTCTTGGTCTTGGTATTAGGTATTGGTTTATGGCAATGCTCTTCCTATTTTAGCCAATGATTAATACAGGAGCATTTCAATGCAATAAAAGCATTTTGACAAAGCCCGCTTATCAAAATAGGATGTGATGTATGCCAAAGTGTATGTACATTCAGAAAATATAAATACACATTTTATTTAAATGAAGCTTTAAGAATTTGAGGGCTAACTTTTAACTTTGGCCTATATAAGACATGTATCAATAGGACATGGTAAAGTACAGAGTAAAAGTCTCCAAATATTATCAAATTCATCACTCAGAAATAAAAGTATGTCCAGACCCTTAAGAAAATTTACCCGGGGCTTAGATAAGTCTCTGTGATATTGATTGTTCCAGGGTTCTGGTGAGACCAGAGTGGAATTGTACCTTTGTACTATGGACTTTGTAGCTACAGTTGTGTACCTAACTGAAATAGCACTCTTGTTGACCTCCTCTCAGTCATATGGACTAAATGACTCTGCTTTTAATCTCAGTGGTCTTCAATGCAACAATTTTGCTGTTGTTAAGGCATATATTTATTAAGACTCTTTCTGTGCGCTCCTTGCTATGGGTTTAGAGGCAGAGTTCATACTTGTGTTTTGCCCTTTTCCCATGCCTACCTGTGCCCATGAAGTCTCTCTTAGCCTTCCCAATCTTTTCCTATTTTGCTTTAACACATTGGGAAATGGTAACAAACAGAAGATAAACACAAACAGGAAAAATAAGGGTATACCCATGATTTTGCTGCTCCACATAGGCTGCAGATAATGACACTTTATTTTTCTAACTTCTAGCTTAGCCCTCCCACCAGGTTGGGGGACAGGCAAGGAAACATCAACTCAGTCATTTTTTTAGTGAATAATTTTATCTGCTTTGGGAATCCATTTTTATACAATCCAGGAAAACTGGCATCCCCAGGTATTGGTGTATGGTAGTGACTAGGAGGAAATACTCATCATAGAAACTCCTTGATCAATCCAGAGAATGGTGGCTCTTATTTCCAACACCTGTTCACTCTGCCCAAACTCAGCCACCAGGACCATTGCCAGCCAGCCGTGCTACCTGGCCCCCAGCACTCAGGCTTAATCTATATAGCCACCACCAGCAAAAGTCCTGCCATCACCAGGTGTGACCTGGAAACAGAGCTTTCTATCTTTCTATCTCATGGTATTAGGAATCCCACTGCCTCTGGGATTGGGCAGCTCTCTTAATCCTCAACCTCGAAGCCTCTTCAACACAGGTTACCCAGGGGCCCAGAGCAGCCTGTCTCATTGAAACACACCAGTGTGTTGGTTAATAATACAGATGCCTGAGTCCTGCCCCAGACCCACAGAATCAGAATCAATGGAGTTGTGCCCCAGGAATTTGCATTTCACTAAGCTCATCAGTAGATTCCTGTGCATATTCAAACTTAAGAAACACTAGGCCTTTTGAAAAACCACATCTTTAAATTCTGTAGCAGTGAAAGTCCAGATTTCTCGGACAAGCTCTGCTCTTGTCTTGAAGAAGGGAAAGAAAAATATATCTCTTTTACGAATGAGCTGAGGTAAGAAGAAAAAATTTATTCCTCAGTCAGTTACTAAACCTCACAAATGTTGAGTAGAAAACAGTGAAGTATCAAAGATAACTAAGATGAAAGGAGGCAAAGTACACACACACACACACACACACACACACACACACACAGGGTGATGAGCAGTTTTTATTCAAATGGAAGAGACCTTGGTTGTGAAGGGTCTTGCCAAAGGCCAGAATTTAAGTGGGTCCTGCCAAATGGCTACATGATACTGCCCACGAATAGATCCTACTAAGCTATGCACAGCCTTCAGTTAAGGCTGATAACACAAGAAATTGGTTCAAACCAAATTTACTTTCTTTCCATCTTTTCTTTTCCAGGTTACTATTTACTTCGCTGACATTTTTAAGAAAGTTTTAAGCAACTATTAATGGGCATTCACTAGAATACAAACATTCAATGTTAAGTATCTATACTAGGGCAGGATTAAAAAACCCAGGGATAATTTAAATTCAAAAGTAATTTAAAAACCATACACACTGCATGCATCAATAACTCTAGCTTCGATTTAGTGCTGTTAAAAGAAATTAAAAAGAATTAATTTAGCTTCATTAATTTTCTTTAAGGAAAAAAATTATATATATACATACACACACACACACACACACACACACATACTTTGAAGTCTCAAATATCAAGATTGATTAATTGTAAACTCAAATTTTTCCAGTAGCTGAGAGGTATAAGTGAAAAAAATGTCTTAATTAACTGATTTATCTTAATATTTCAGCTTAATTTTATATTCTATTCTATTATATAATATCTCTGAGTTTTAACACAAAAATCATGGACAAAATACTTCAGTAAGACGCACTATATTTCTATGATGACTTTACAGACGATTCTCTGACATATACCTGAGATGGAAAGCCTCACATAATTAAAATAACAGGGCTAACTGCCAGCTCTCCACTTCAAATTTGGAGGCATCCCTACAGCAGGCAAACATTTAATGTGATGTGGTCGTTAATTTCTCTAATTACAATGTTATTAAATTATAATTATAATTTCATCCCTAGAAATGATGGCTTCTGATAGAGTTGTCTTCTTTTTCTTTGCAGGGAACATTCCAGTATCTATCTTCAAAATGGCCCAGATAGAATTGGGAAAGTATATAAGAAGGCCATTTATCTTCAGTACACAGATGAAACCTTTAGGACGACTATAGAAAAACCACTCTGGCTCGGGTTTTTAGGCCCTATTATTAAAACTGAAACTGGTGATAAAGTTTATGTACACTTAAAAAATCTCGCCTCTAGGCCCTACACCTTTCATTCACATGGGATAACTTACTATAAGGAACATGAGGGTAAGTTCAGCTCATGTAGCTGGAATTTCCTCCTACTTGTCAGTAGAAGTGCCTTTTAGCTTCTAAAATTGTAGACTTCTGGATGAGACCTCTAACTGCCATTTGGCTCTAAACTATTTTATTAATACGTACTTTGTCTCCACATAATAATGGCATGTTTTTCTTTGTCGTGCTGGTTTACGGAAAGTGTGAATGTGGTAGAATTTCTAGGTGGACTCAGCGAGAGTCAGAGAGAGCTGCAGCTTCTTTCCCAGTGCCCAATCCTTTCTGGCCAAATAGAATAAGAGAAATGGACAATGTACATTAAAGCCGAGAAGAGGCAAAAATCCAGAGGGAAGACAAAGAAGGACTCAAGATATGGACTGCCTTATCTTTGAAATTCCTACATGTAAACATGCTATGGCTGTTGTGACCTCCCATCCTAACTTTAGACAAACTGCCCCAGCCAAGGTGGCATAAGTAGTCTCCTATGTCAGTCAAGTTGTACATGTGCCTGGATGATTCAAGTCACAATGAGACACAGTTAATGAGACCCAATTAACTGAAAAAGTCATTTGAATACAGGACTTGGAAGCCTTGAAAATAGTACCTGAAAAACAAAGATAAGGTTTGGTGCCTGTGATCTCATTCTTAGTCCCTAACAACGATGATGAAACAGGTGGTATTTTGTAGTGATGAAAGCAAGGGCTTTGAAATTAATAGACCAAGTTCTGAGCCCCAGCCTTGCCTTTTACTGATTGAGTGACCTTGGACAAATTATTTAAATTATTTCAGCTTCAGTTTCCTCATGTATAAAATAGAAACGATGAGAATACATAGTAATAGCTCAATAAATATCAGCTGTTATCATAAGCAAAAATGCTGGAGTCATGCTACAGTTCACTGAAATTGTAATGATCAAGCAGGGAAAATAATTTAAAATTAGATTTGATTGATTATTAGCTGTCTTTTTAAAAGAGATATTGTTTTAGAAGGTGAATGTGTTGACTTTTTTGTTGTTGTTGTTGTTTAGGGCTAAATTACATTGATGGCATAAAAGGCTGACTGCCATCCATTTCTTTTTAATGATTTCATAGCTTATTAGGGAATTAGCATTCATTATAAAGGCATGGTAATGGTACTGCGGTTTTGTTAAAAGAAGAAAAGAGTTCCTAACTTGTAGAGATACATACTCAAGCATTTATGAATGGAATATGATGCCTGAGATTTGCTTTAAAATTCTTTGATGGTACTGGGGATAATCGTGTGTGCGGGTACAGATGAAACAAGATTGGCCTTCAGTCGATCACTGTTAAAGCTGGTTTTACGGGTACACGGAGGTTCAGCACATTCTTCCCTCAACCTTTGTGTATGTTTGGAAATTTCCAAAATTAAGAATAGAAATTTTTTAAATTCTATGGTTACTTCATGAACGAAAATCTGAGACCATACAAGAAGTTTTGAATTTAGAAGAGGGTAGCCGTTTTGCTCAGACTTCCATACCTTGACCCAAGTTCTTTACATTGCAAATAAAAAGTCATTATGCTCTATGAAAACCCAATCAAATATAAAAAATCATAAAAATGTCTGTGAAGCTTCTGAACACCCTAGCCATTAACCTGTCATTTTCCTGTGTCCAAAAAGGGTATCATATCCCCAAGGATCACATAGTAGATATTTAATAAATGTTTGCTGAATGAATTAATGGACTATCTTTCTCTCATTTAAGTTCAAATACATTCATTTTGCACCATCATTGCATGTTGCTTCCTAGGGGCCATCTACCCTGATAACACCACAGGTTTTCAAAGAGCAGACGACAAAGTATTTCCAGGAGAGCAGTATACATACATGTTGCTTGCCACTGAAGAACAAAGTCCCGGTGAGGGAGATGGCAATTGCGTGACTAGGATTTACCATTCCCACATTGATGCTCCTAAAGATATTGCCTCAGGACTCATCGGACCTTTAATAATCTGTAAAAAAGGTACATTTTCTCATTATTGCACTCATTATACTACCAAAAGACAGGGGCAGGGCAGTTTGTCTGTTAAAAATAAGTCAAGTCTTCTGTGTTGAGATCAAGTAGGTAAGGTAGAGAGGTGGTGAGTAGGAAAGCAGGAAGGGAAGAGCCAGGCAGGACTAAGAGAAGAAGGGATAAATGGAACAAGCATTCATATGGGGAAAATGCCAATGAAGCTAAGCTGAAAGAAATATATTCCCCACCCCCCACCGTCCCTCCCCTATTTCCCCCCAACTGACCCCAATGTGTAGCTGGGGAGAGATAGCAAGGGGAGTGATGCCAGGTGTAGGTGATGGGGAGGAAGGCAGCAAATCACACTGCCATGTGTGTACCTATGCAACAATCTTGTATGTTCTTCACATGTACCCCAAAACCTAAAATGCAATAAAATAAATAAATGGGAAAAAAAAAAGAAATATATTCTCCCCTGGGATCAGTTTGCTGTGTCTAACTTCCAACAGTGGTGCCAAAGAGAATATGACTACCAAATGTGACTCCCAAAAAGGCACTCCATGGTGATAGATCTGTAGTAACTCGTATTATCTTGGTAAATACAGCATCATAGTATTTATTTCTAACATTGTGAAAAAGATGTGTCTCAAGAGCCTGAAATATAATTCTAACTTGAACAATAGTTACCTGTAAAGACTTGTCTCAGCATGTGGCTATCTGCACCAGAAAATAGACACACAACTTTGAATTTCAATCTTCCCATTTGCCAAAAAGCATTTAACAGTTATGTGGTCAGTCAATATCCAGATACAGGAGTGTCTTCCAAGCACTAGACGCTGAACATAAAATTCCCTGTGTGTTTCTGTCTATAAAACAGGAGTGATTGGTCCAGACTTGTGGTTTATTAGAAAAAATAAATACTAAAATTTTAAAAAAATATAAATCACCTGAAAACATAAATCAAAATACATGCTAAAAATTTAGTCCTACTAAAATAGTAATTTTAACTCCAGATTCTCTAGACAAAGAAAAAGAAAAAAATATTGACCAAGAATTTGTGGTGATGTTTTCTGTGGTGGATGAAAATCTCAGCTGGTACCTAGAAGACAACATTAAAACCTACTGCTTAGAACCAGAGAAAGTTGACAAAGACAATGAAGACTTCCAGGAGAGTAACAGAATGTATTGTAAGATTACAGAAGACATGTTAACTTTACTTTTTTTTCCCTTGATCCATTAATTCTGCTAAACTTATTCCCTCACATAAGTAAGTAGTGTGTATTAGTCTGTGGTCCTTATAACAAAGCATATTGGATGTGCGATTTGATATTTGGCTAAGTAAGTCAAACGAAAAACTCTCAGCCAGGTAAATCCAGATATACCAAACTTGTTTCCAAACTGGTAAAGATAAAATAGCAATTATGGTTTAATGTATATGTATGTGACATTTATATATTTATTTAGCCACTAGACTCATTCCAAAACTTATTTGAGGCAGCCTAAAATTATTAAAATAAATGCTTAAAACTATACTTATATTTTAAACTAACTATATTTAAGAAAATAGTTCAAACCACGAGTTCTGAAAGGTATTCATTTTACATACTCTGTTCCCTCACTGGGCCCCCTAGTCTGCATCATTCTTTTCTACATTTCATTTCAGTTCACTTTACTTTTCTGGAAATGCCTTTTTAACAGTTTAGACTTTCTCTTAATTCTCAGACATGAAATAATGAGCTTAGTAAGATTATCTATTTCATAATTTGCATGAGAAAGAGAATCCCTTAACAACAACTAAACCAATAAGTAGAGATTTTTTATTTGTTTGTGTTTAACTTCTTCAAAATAACCTGCACTCAAGAAACTGAGAGCACAAAAATAACTATACTACCAAAGTAATAAACCAATGAACAAAGTACAGATTTTGTTTCAACTTTTACTTATATCTGGGTGGAAAGTTGTCTTTCCATACTTTATTCCCTTGTTGTGTACTAACAAAAATAGATGTTATAAAAACATAGTCAAAATTCTAGCCCGAGCGGATTTGGTTTGGTTCCAGTGTCACATACGGTGCACTCAGGATTCTTCCCAGAACTGATTTCCACCTGGGAAATGTTTAGGCCCACCCAGTTTGAACAATGACCATAAGTTTCTTTTCTTTTCTTTCTTTCTTTTTCTTTTTGAGACGGAATCTTGCTCTGTCGCCCAGGCTGGAGTGCAATGGCACGATCTCTGCTCACCGCAACATCTGCCTCCTGGGTTCAAGCAATTCTTCTGTCTCAGCCTCCCAAGTAGCTGGGATTACAGGCATCTGCCACCATGCCCAGCTAATTTTTTTGTATTTTTAGTAGAGATGGGATTTTACCATGTTGGCCAGGCTGGTCTCGACCTCCTGACCTTGCGATCCACCTGCCTTGGCCTCCCAAAATGCTGGGATTACAGGCGTGAGCCACTGCGCCCGGCCAGTGATTGTAGGTTTCTTCCGAGGGTTTCAGGCCACTTTGCATATGAACTTTTAGGTCTTGGTGGCTCTGTTCCTGCTGTCCTACATTTTTTCCCTCCTTTGTATCTTTTCCAATCTTAAAAATTTTGTCTTGCAATCTTTAGAAAAAGCTATTCATATGTTCTTTTTACAAAAGAAATTTATGGTAGAAAATTGGAAAATTTCTGATAAGCAAAAAAACATATATATATATATATATATATATAAAATATCCATACTTCTACTACCAACATGATTAATAACGGAATACTAAATAATCTTCAATCTTTTTTCTATTAACTCTATGTATGTGTTTTATTTGTGTATATATATGCAACATCTGTATTTACACACACACACACACACACACACACACACACACACACACACACTGTGTACAGTTTATAACAAAGACAACAAATAGGTTTTATCTCCAGTGTTGTGTTCATCTGTTAATATGGTATTGATGAGAATCCTCAGGCTGATTCAGTTTCAAAATGAAAGACTGCTGTGATTGATTAGCAATGTCTGACACGGGTATGGGAGGGAGGAATACCAGCATGTGTGCAAGGTATTTTCCATTCCAAATTGATTCTATCTATATGGAGGTAACTCTCACTATCTCAAGCATTAATGACTATTAGTCACAAACTCTGCTCTTGGCTTAAACAGCTGTGAATGGATACACTTTCGGAAGTCTCCCAGGACTCTCCATGTGTGTTGAAGACAGAGTGAAATGGTACCTTTTTGGTATGGGTAATGAAGTTGATGTGCACGCAGCTTTCTTTCATGGGCAAGCATTGACCAACAAAAACTACCATATTGACACAATCAACCTCTTTCCTGCTACCCTGTTTGATGCTTTTATGGTGGCTCAGAACCCTGGAGAATGGATGCTCAGCTGTCAGAATCTAAACCATCTGAAAGGTAGGACATCTTTACCTGAAGTTAGCTGTCAACTGAAAAAGGCGATGACTGGGAATCAGAATCTAAAAGCTAAATATCTTTGAAATAATCTGAGGTTTGAACTGGCATCTTAGTTTTATTCCTATGATGGTATACATAATAATGTAATAAAAAGACTATAAGACAGGAATATTATAAAGTAATGAGATCTGAAAATAAATTAGTTTTTGGAAAAGAACAACCGGCCCTGAAAGTAGAATACTGTATATATTTACTCGGCTTTGTAAAATATACAGTATTGTAAAATCCAGAAATGCTGTATGTTGCACTGGAAAGTACCCTGTTTTTCAACTTATTTCCATCAAGTATAACCAACTTTGTTCTTTATTTGAGCCTGGCCATCTTTTAGTTTAATTCAATAAATACTTCCTTTATCTCTTTAACTTAGGCAATAAAAACATTCCTTGTTCTTGAAAAATATTAGTTTTTAATATTGGTCGACTGAAGGAAATTAAGTTTAACATAGGAGTTTGGATATTTTACTTCAATAAAAGCAAATATAATTGCTTTTGTCAAATATGCTCTGGGCCACAGAAGGCCCCACACAGCAGATGCACAACCATCTTGTGCAAGAGAGCAATAATACGTGCTCATTCGGTTTCTCCTCCTCTTTCCAATGCAACCCTTTAAAATATGTCAAAGCCTCTCTTCTCTGTTTATCTATAAATTTGTTCTTTATCTCTCATCAAAAGAACTACCAAGTGAAACCCCACAGAAACTGGTACCATATTTTGAAATCACATATATTTAATATCTCTGTGCTATATGTACATAAAAAACAAAGTATGTCTGTTTTAAATTTGAGTTTTCCATCACTAATTTATTTACAGCTGTTTGCCCTAGTTTATAGTTGTGTTTCTATCTATTCCTTCAATTTCCACTTGTCATCTCATGAGCAGTGTTTACAGGGCAATAGGAGAGAGAAACATTGGCTCCATTAATCGATGCCTCTCTCTGTTTCATTTCAGCTGGTTTGCAAGCCTTTTTTCAGGTCCAGGAGTGTAACAAGTCTTCATCAAAGGATAATACCCATGGGAACCATGTTAGACACTACTACATTGCCGCTGAGGAAATCATCTGGAACTATGCTCCCTCTGGTATAGACATCTTCACCAAAGAAAACTTAACAGCACCTGAAAGGTAATTCACAAAAAATAGTACTATTTCAAAATATGCTCTTCCCCACACAAAAGAACCACAAAAGGCTATTTCAGCAATTAAAATTTTAATTGACATCTGAAATTTAGTATTTAGACTGCTAAATATTTATTAAAGTATTTGATGTAAGAGTCTGAGCTTGAGAACTATGAGTTTTGAGTTCATGAAAAAAGATGGGTTCAAAAGTTATCAAATGCTTGACAAAGTCCTGAAAAAACATTGAATACAATTAGATAAATCAATCAATATGCTTTTCATTTAGAAAACATAGCATTATACAATTCAGCAGCATTAAGTACATTTTCAATGCTGTATAGCCATCACCACTATCCATTTCTAGAACTTTTTTTATTTTATCACTCCAAATAGAAACTCTGAACCCTTTAAAGAATAACCACTTTCTTCCACTCTGTCTCCACCTCTGATAAACTCAATTCTACTTTCCGTCTCTATGAGTTTTCCTATTCTAGGCAACTCATACAAGTGGAATCATACAATATTGGTCCTTTTGTGTCTTTTATATCACATAGCATAATGTTTTAAGATTTGTTCATGTTGTAGCATGCATCCAAATTCCACTCCTCTTTAAGGCTGAGTAATACTTCGTTGTATATATGTACCACATTTTCTTTATTCATTCATCTTTTCATAAACATTTGGGTTGTTTCCACCTTTTGGCTATTGCGAATAATGTTGTTATGAATAATTGTTATACAAATATCACTGTTCAAGTCTATGCTGTTAATTCTTTTGTATATGCAGCTAGAAGTGGAATCGCTGGATCATATGATAATTCTAGTTTTAAGTATCTTAGGAATCACATTACTGTTTTTCATAGCAACTGCACCATTTAACAGGCTCATCAGCAATGTACAGGGGTTCCAATTTCTTCACATTTTCATCAACACTTGTTATTTTCCCTTTCTTTCTTTCTTTCTTTCTTTCTTTTCTTTCTTTCTTTCCTTCTTTCTTTCTTTCTTTCTTTCTTTCTTTCTTTCTTTCTTTCTTTCTTTCTTTCTTTCTTTTTCTTTCTTTCTTTCTTTCTTTCTTTCTTTCTTTCTTTCTCTTTCTTTCTTTCTCTTTCTTTTTTAATAATGACCATCCTAATGAGCATGAGATCATGTTTCATAGTGGTTTTGATTTGCATTTTCTTAATGACTAGTAATGTTGAGGTTCACGTACTTTTTGGTCATTTGTGTATCTTCGTCAGAGAAATGTCTATTTAAGTCCTTCAGCCATTTTTGAAGTGGGGTTTTTTGTTGCTGTTGACTTGTAGGAGTTCTTTATATATTTAGGATGTTAATTCCTTATCAAATATTTGCAAATATTTTCTCATACTCTATAGGTTGTCTTTCACTCTCTTGATAGTGTCCTTTGATGTACAGAAGTGCCTCTTTGTACATGTCTAAATGACTTCCACAGCCTCCCAGCCATCTGTTTGTCTTCCTTTCCTATCAAGTTTTTACAAAGCAGTACTGTGATCTTTCAAAAATGTCAGTGAGATGATGCCACTCCCTGCCCCAAGTCTTTACTCATATATCGCTTCCTCAGAGAAGACCTGTTTGCCATCCATATTAAAAATACCCTCCTTGGAAAGGTTAAGTAATTCATTCAACATCACACAATAAATGGATAGCTAGGCCTTGCTCAGCCCAGACCTGTGACTCCTGAAGCAGAGATGTAAGTCACAGGCTACACTGACACCTAAATGTGATTACTCCCAAAGCTGCATCTCCAACTCAGAAGGCTCTTGTGAATTTCAGATTTGCATTTCAAACTTCTCAGTGACACTCCTTGGATGAGGCTGTTCACACTTCTATCCTCATCAAGTACTGCCTCATTTTATAGTAACTTTCTCTGAAAGCTATCTACTTCTCTCCATCTTATTTGCCAATACCTATAAAATCATCTCTGCCTCTCACTGAAATTAGAAAAGCACGCTCCTGACTGGTCTCCCTACAGCAGTCTTGTATTTTCCAACACATTCTCCCAACAGCTGCCACAGGGATCCTCCTAAAATGCTAATCCTGAATGCTTAAGTCTTCCAAATGCTTCTCACTGCCCTGGGATGGAAGGCTGAAACCTCAGCTAGGTCCTCCTACCTATCTTCCATCTATCTAAGCCTTATTCATCACTTCTCTGCCCTGCCCTGCATGCTGTCCTTCTAGAAAATATGCTTATCCATATTACCTAGAATATTATCTGTAATATGGCATGCTCGCTCTTTTCTCTCAGGCTTCTCACAGGCAGTTTTCTCTTTGTATACACCTACCCCCGTCTTCCCGCTACACACACACTTCATCTTGCTAACTCTACTTCCCATTTAGTTTTAAGTAATTACTTCCTCTGGAACATCCTTGTGGCTTCTTCCCTGCACTTTCCCCAACCTCAAAGAAATGCTCCGTAACACCCTGCGCTTATTGTACTACATTATATTGATGGGTTCATGGCCTGTCTTCTCTGCCAGATGTAAGGTCCATGTGGACAGGGATGAGTCCACTTTGCTTGTGGTTAAGTCATCAACACATACCAGGATTCTCAGCAAAGAGCAGGTGTTCAATACATTTGTCAAATGAAAGAAATGATGAATGAGGTGGCATTGTGCAAGTCAAATAAATATCTTTCTGAAATTTAATTTTTTCATTTGCAAAATATGGAGAATAGTACTGACTTTGTTGCAATGTCATGTGAGTTCCAGCTAATAAATAAAAGCTCCTGGCCAGGCGCAGTGGCTCATGCCTGTAATCCCGGAACTTTGGGATGCCAAAGCAAGTGGATCACTTGGGGCCGGGATGCGAGACCAGCCTGGCCAATATAGTGAAGCCCCATCTCTATTAAACACAGAAAAAATTAGCTGGGCCTGGTGGTGCAGCCTGCAATTTCAGTTGTTCAGGAAGCTGAGGAATGAGAATCACTTGAACCAGGGAGGCACAGCTTGCAGTGAGCCAAGGTTGCACCACTGCACTCTAGCTTGGGCAGCAGAGTGAGACTCTGTCTCAAAAATCAATCAATCAATCAATCAATGCTCCTGAGCAGCTGGCCAGTGCTAATACACAACAAAGAATAGCCATTGTGTTTTAAACATTTCACAATTTGATAAAAAGATTCTGGCCAGGCACGGTGGATCACAAGGTCAGGAGTTCAAGACCAGCCTGGCTAAAATGGTGAAACTCCCATCTCTACTAAAAATGCAAAAATTAGCCAGGTGTGGTGGTAGGCATCTGCAATCCCAGCTACTTGGAAGTCTGAGGCAGAGGATCACTTGAACCCAGGAGGCGGAGGTTGCAGTGAGCCAAGATCACGCCACTGCACTCCAAAAACCTGGGCGACGGAGCAAGACTCCATCTCAAAAAAAAAAAAAAAAAATTCTATGGTAGAACCCTTTGTCAAGGGATTGTCAAGGGCCCGCCTGAAAATTTTTTCTTCACTTGAAAATATAAACATCCTCCATGATTCTCTACTTCTTAACTTGCCATCCCTGTATGAGTGGCCTGGAACTGCCTGCTCTGTTTGAGTAACTGATATGATTGCTATAAATCATGGATAATATTCATCTCTAAGCACGGTCAGAATTTTTCTCTTCATTTACCCTATGTGAATGCCTGTTTTCTGTTCTATTTCAAGCCCAGCATTAAACACTTTTTCCCCCCTGGCAGTGACTCAAAGGTGTTTTTTGAACAAGGTCCCACAAGAATTGGAGGCTCTTATAAAAAGCTGGTTTATCGTGAGTACACAGATGCCTCCTTCACAAATCGAAAGGTGAGAGGCCCTGAAGAAGAGCATCTTGGCATCCTCGGTGAGTACATGCAGAATATATATGGCTGGTGTACTCTTCCCACAGTCTACACCAACCTCAGAAAGAATAGTAACTTCAGGACCTACTGCATGATTTCTATGTGTAAAGTAGGTGTGTGGAAGATAAAACAATAAAATGTAGCAGCTAATTACTTTTCCAAATGTAAATTATCAATAGTAAATTTTCATCATTAAAAGCCATGCTGATGGCTGGGAGTGGTAGCTCATGCCTGTAATCCCAGCATTTTGGGGAGCCGAGGCGGGTGCATGACTTGAGGTCAGGAGTTTGAGAACGTCCTGGCCAACATGGTGAAACCCCATCTTTACTAAAAATACAAAAATTAGCAGGGCATGATGGCATGCACCTGTAGTTCCAGCTACTCGGGAGGCTGAGGCAGAAGAATTGCTTGAACCCAGGAGACGGAGGTTACAGTGAGCTGAGATCGCACCACTGCACTCTAGCCTAGCGGCAGAGCAAGACTCCATCTAAATAAATAAATAAATAAACAAACAAACAAAGAAAACCCAGTCCATTAATGAGACCAGCGCAATTATCCTAGAGCCCTCTGCAGGCTGCCCCCAGCAGAGTCCAGAGACCTGTTCTTTCCAAGGCACTGAGGCAGAATAGCCTAGTGGGTGAGTAGAGTATGGATTCAGATTGTCCTGGCTCTTCACTTTTTTTTCTTGGCGGTGATTCAGAGGTATAATACTTTTCAACAAGGTATTACAAGAATTGGAGGCTCTTATAAAAAGCTAGTTTTTTGGGAGTACGAAATGCATATATTAGCTGTGTGACTTTTGAAAGTTACTCAACTTGGCCAAACACAGTGGCTCATGCCTGTATTCCCAGCACTTTGGGAGGCTGAGGCAGGCAGATCACTTAGGTCAGGAGTTTGAGACCAGCCTGGCCAACATGGTAAAACTCCGTCTCTACTTAAACAAACAAACAAAAAAATACAAAAATTAGCTGGGCACATAATCCCAGCTACTCAGGAGGCTGAGGCAGGAGAATTGCTTGAACCCAGGAGGCAGAGGTTGCAGTGAGCTGAGATCATGCCACTGCACTCCAGCTTGGGCAATAGAGTGAGACTCTGTCTCAAAAAAAGAAAAAAAGAAAGAAAGAAAAAAAGAGATTTATTCATTATCTGTGTCTGTTCCCTTCTGTAAAATGGGAACAATAGTTACTAAGGTTGGTATAGGAATTAAATGAATTAATACATATAAACACTCAGAAGAACAGATAGGAAGCTCTCGATAAATATCATTTTGTATATTACATAAAATATTTATGTAAAATATATGTTTTTATTCTATAATTGGTAATCACTAATTTTGGTCATGGAAAATCCAAAACAGTGTTATCCTTCGCATCCAAAATAATTCAACTTACCTGCTTTGGGTGATCCAAGTTTATAGTACCTAGCTTTCAGGACAAAGGACACACCTCTAGCCAACAGAAGATTAGACTGAGGAGAGTCAACACTCTGGATAGTTTTTGTAGATGTGTAAAGCTTACTAACTGACTTGTACAAAAATGATAATCGATTTCATTAATCTGGAGTTGGACTAAAAAGCCCTTCCCTCCTTCAAACCTCAACATATCAGATTGATTATGGACTTTTCAAAAACCAAGCTTTCCATTCGCCACAAATAGGCATGTTGCTCCTAGTAGTTCTTGCCAGAGGACACAGTCAAAGAAGATAACTGTCTTATACGTTCTGCCTGTTATATACCAAGGAAGGATAATAATTCTCTCTTTGTTCCCAGGTCCTGTCATTTGGGCAGAGGTAGGAGACACGATCAGAGTAACCTTCCATAACAAAGGGGAATATCCCCTCAGTATTGAGCCAATTGGGGTGAGATTCAGTAAGAACAACGAGGGCACACACTACTCCTCACATTACAAGACCCAGAGTGGAAGTGAGTATGGCACTCTGTAACCAATCAACATTTAATAACCCACTACACTGGTCACTTACAGTGTCCTGCAAAAACCAAAGGCAGGAACTCCCAAGAAAAATGCTCATATATCATTTCTAGGCATCATGCCAGGAAACAAATAAGCCACTTCTCCTACCTCCAATTGGTTTACGGAGTTTTGTCCTGCCTTAATTGGATGATTATTGACAATGCTGATAGTAATTTAGTTGGGTTTTATCGATTTTACATTTCTGGAGTATTCCGGGTGATTTTAATTTTAAAAAAACTTCTTATAAGAATGTTCGATGTTCACTTTAGAATGTTTGAAAATATAGAAAAGTGTAGCCAAAATATTAATTGTCCATAGTTCTATAAATAATCGCTATTATATTTTTATATAATTCTTCCACTTTCATCTGTATACATATAATATATATTTTAAATGAGGTTGATATCATAGCACATATTATTTTAATTTCATCATCAGTTTGTTCTCTTAGCATTATAAGGGTTTTATAAACATAATTTTAATGATATAAAATATTTCATCATGTGGATGTTTTTGACTATTTTTACATATCAAGGATGGCCAGTGAAGACTAGCGACTTTGCTAACACCTCCAGTATGACTGTGGGCAGTTTATTTAATCTTTCTGGCCTCAGTTCTCTCAGGCGTAAATTTGAGAGATTTAAATAGGATCACTTGCAAAGTTCCTTTCAATTCTACAATTATTTTCAGTTTCATTTTATTCAATAGAAAGTGCATTGATTACACTGTATTGCCAGGCATTGTTCTGGTTGATAGAAATATAGATACAGTGCTTGCCTTCAAGAAAGTTAAGTTCTGTTCAAGAGAAATACACACAATATAACATGAAAGGTGCTAGGGACATTCCTGGAAGATGTGTGAGCACGAAGAGGGAAACCAATCCCAGGAGGTTTAGAAGAGTCTATCTGGGGCCTGGTGCAGTGTCTCACGCCTGTAATGCCAGCACTTTGGGAGGCCAAGGTGGGCAGATCACGAGGTCAAGAGATCAAGACCATTCTAGCCAACATGGTGAAACCCTGTCTCTACTAAAAATGCAAAAATTTACTGTGTGTGCTGGAGCATGCCTATAGTCCCAGCTGCTTGGGAGGCTGAGACAGAAGAACTAATTGAACCTGGGAGGCGGAGGAGGTTGCAGTGAGCCGAGAGTGAGTCACTGCACTTTAGCCTGGCAACAGAGCGAGACTCCACCTTAAAAAAAAAAAAAAGAGTCTATCTGGATGCAATCACATGGCTCTGTTTTCTGACACTAGAGCATAAGTGGGATTTCATTCTAATTTTTAACTAAGAACTCAGAAGTGGGCTATTCTAGACTAAACTTAGTCTACTTTGTGGCTGAAATGAGTACATTAGAAAGCACACTTAACCTCTCTCTAATGTGACCTTTCTCAGGTGTGCCTTCTTCAGCCTCCCATGTGGCACCCACAGGAACATTCACCTATGAATGGACAGTCCCTGAAGAAGTAGGACCCACTTATGCAGATCCTGTATGTCTAGCTAAGATGTATTATTCTGCTGTGGATCCCACTAAAGATATATTCACTGGGCTTATTGGACCAATGAAAATATGCAAGAAAGGAAGTTTACATGCAAATGGGAGACAGGTAAGTCCAATTGGGGAAAAAACACATGAGATGAACAATTGTTCAATCTCTTTGAAAATGATTATTTGACATAGAAATAGAAATATCTAACCTTATCATTATCTCCAAAAATACTTTAGTATATACCTTTAAAAGATAAGGATGTCTCCCAGCACTCTGGGAGGCCAAGGCGGGAAGATCATGAGGTCAAGAGATCGAGACCATCCTGGCCAACATGGTGAAACCCCGTCTTTACTAAAAAAATACAAAAAATTAGCTGGGCATGGTGGCACACGCCTGTAGTCCCAGCTACTTGGGAGGCTAAGGCAGGAGACTTGCTTGAACCCGGGAGGCGGAGGTTGCAGTGAGCAGAGACCGCGTCACTGCACTCCAGCCTGGTGCCTGGTGACAGAGCGGACTCTGTCTCCCAAAAAAAAAAAAAAAAAAAAAAAGATAAGGATGTCTTTAAAAATGCCCATAATTATCACACCTTAAAATAATAACCACACACCATAACTCCTTAAAGTTATCAAATGGCCAATCAATGTTCACATTTCCCCAACTGATTTATTAAGTCTGTTGTTTGAATCAGTATCCGAACAATTACACATATTACAACGAATTTATATGTTTCCTAAGATTGTTTACTTGAAGTTTTTCTGTTGCTAGAGTCATCGGTCCTATAGAAGTTTCCTATGTCATGATTTTACTTATTTTATCCCTGCAGTATCATTTAACACAGGGGTCCTCAACCACCACCCCTCCACACACACACACACACACCCCTGTGGCCGCACAGCAGGAGGTGAGCCTGTTAGATGGTCTGTTAGGAACTGGGCCACACAGCAGGAAGTCAGCAGCAGGTGTTATCACCTGAGCTCACCTCCTGTCAAATCAGTGGCGGCATTAGATTGTCATAGGAGCTCAAACCTTAGTGTGAACTGTGCATGTGAGGGATCTAGATTCCTTATCAGAATCTATGCCTGATGATCTGAGGTAGAATAGTTTCATCCAGAAACCTCCCTCTCTCCCAGCGTTTTTGTAGAAAAATTATCTTCCATGAAACTGGTCCTTGGTGCCAAAAATGTTGGGGATTGCTAAAACGTGTTTCTTTCTCTCTGCTTCTATTTCTTGTAACTAGTAGTTAGATCTAAAAGTTTGATCTAATTCAGATTTTTTTTTCTTTCAAGTCTACTTCAAATATGGTACTGAGCACTTCTATCAGGGAGTACTTAATTTATAGCTGTCCCTTAATTGGGGATGTTATCAGCTACTGATGATGGTTTCCTAGATTCATAAACTAATCAGGGTTGCATAATAGTACTATTCTAACTCCATCTTCCTTTCTTTATTAGCTGGCATACTTCTCTACAAACAGAAACGTCTTAATGAATTATTTGGTTACCCTGAGGTACACAGTATACAGAAAGGGTATGACAAATACTTGATTCATTCCCTGTATTTACCAGTTTTCAAATTAATTACTCTCCTCTAGCATTCTTCAAAGACTTCTCAATAATTTTTTTCCTTTTAAGTAGCATTGTGCACTCATGGATTTAAGCATATTTGGTGTGTTACAATTCACTGCCATTATCCCTACTGATGTTCAAAGTATCCTTTTTGACACTGAAGGACTTGTTCAGGTTGACTTCCTTATTTTTACATCATCGCAGTCTTTGAAGATTCTCTGCTTTCTAGTATAGTGAGACATCAGGCTCATTTTGTACGTTTTCTAAGCCAGAACTGGAACTAACCATTTGTTCCCAAAAGCCATTTTTTGTTTTTTTGTTTTTCTTTTGGTGAGGAATCATTCCTAGAACCACAATGTGGGCACTAGAAGTGCTTGTTGCTATTGGGGAAACCATTATTTCTGAGCCTTTGCAGTGGAAAGAAATGGGAAAAAAAAACTTTTCAGATAAATTCATCATGATTGCATACTAGTTCTTTCTATTTGAATTTCAATCTACAGATTTTTTTGTTATTGACTGCATCAATCTTATATTTGTTTCTGCCTTAAACTGCACTGAAAAATCTTATTTTTTTAATAACACCAACACATTCACTTGATTCATCCCATAATATACACACATCAGTCTCAGAATCCCAATTACAATACTGCAATCAACAATATGATAACTGAAAACAGTTTAAGATTTGTTTGCCACTTTGTCCTTAGAGTAGATCCTACTAGAGATTTTTAGCCAAATTACATATTTAAAGTCACTTGGGATAGTTCTTCTCTACATAGTTTTGCCACCACTGGATATGCGGATTTATTTAATTCATTTTACTTATCTTTTTTAAGAAATTGCTTTGAAAAGTGTAATATTATTTTATTTAAAATATTCATATCGCATTAACACCAAATCTATAAAAAGGGTATATTCAAATAAGTCTAGCTTCCATCCCTTCCCTCTCCCACCTATTCTCTGCCTCCTAACCATAGGTAACTTTTTTTTTTTCACTTTATAGTTTATTCTTCCAGTTTTAAATAAACAAGTTTGTGTATTCATATCTTTGCTTTTTTCACTTCACAATAGAATCTGAACATCTCTTCATACTAATGTATGGAAATATTGCTCATTCCTCATTTCTTTGCATAGTAGATATTACTCTGATGTGTGGACATGCTACAGTTTATACAATCAGTCCCTTACTTGATAAGTGTTTGGGTTGTTTCTAGTCTTTACTAGAAATACAAAACAATTTACACAAATAAAAAACAATGTACAGCCTTGTTAGCCTTGTTCATATCTCTCTGTATTTTTGCTGGCATACCTTTGTGATAAATTCCTATAAGTTGTATTGTTGGGACAAAAGGTAAATGCTTAAACAGTTTTGTGAAATATTGCCAAATCCCCAGTGTAGTTGTGCCAGTTTGTATTTTCAGAAGGTATATATGAGACTGTCTGTGTTTCCACAGCATTATTACAAACTATATTGTCAAATTTGGGGATTTTCACCAATCTGATAGGAAATAAATGGTACAGTTGAGGAGTGGATCAAATTTATCTTTTTCTATGTGGCTATCAGTTATTTCAACATTACTCACAAAAAAGCTAAACTTTCCCACATTGATTGAAATGCTGCCTTTATCATCTACTAAAATATTTATATATAAGTGAGTCTATTTCTAGATTTTCTATGCTGTTCTGCTGGTCTTTATCTATTCATGCACCAATAACGTACTGCTTTAATTAGAGAGCCCTTTAATATGTTTAATGGCTAGTAGCTATGCCTCACTGCTCTTCTTTTCCATCATTTTAATGGCTATTTTTGCTTATTCTTTCTACTGAATTTTAGAAAAGTTTATCTAGATCTGGAAAAAAGACTTGATAGTGTTTTACTGGGATTGTCTCAAACGTGTAAGTTAAACTAGAGAGAACAGACATAACTATGAAGTTGAGTCATCCTACATAAGAACAGTCTTTCCATTATTCAAGTCAACTTTTGTGTTTTTCAAGAGTATAGTTCTTGGATTTTTTTTTAAAGATTATGCCAAGATATTTTATTTTTATTTGGCCTTTGTAAATGGTAACACCATTATTTAAAATTTTAAATATGTGGCTGGGTGCAGTGGTTCACACCTATGATCTCAGCAGTTTAGGAGACGGAGGCCAGTGGATCACCTGAGGTCAAGGGTTCAGACTAGACTGGCCAACATGGAAAAACCTCATCTCTGCTAACATTACAAAAATTAGCTGGATGTGGTGGCCCATGTCTGTAATCCCAGCTACTCAGGAGGCTGAAGCATGAGAATTGCTTGAACCCAGAAGGTGGAGGTTGATATGAGCTGAGACTGCACCACTACACTCTAGCCTGGGCAACAAAGCGAGACTCTGTCTCAAAAAAAAATTTTTTTTAATATGTAACTGAAATAAAAAAGGTTTTCTACCTTTGGATTCCGTATTTTTTGAGATTGAGTCTTGCTCTGTCACCCAGGCTGGAGTGTGGTGGCACGATCTGAGCTCACTGAAACCTCCGACTCCCGGGTTCAAGTGATTCTCCTGCTTCAGCCTCCAGAGTAGCTGGGATTACAGGCATGTACCACCACACCCCGCTAATTATTGTATTTCTAGTAGAGACGTGGTTTCACCATGTTGGCCAGGCTGGTCACAAAATCCTGACCTCAAGTGATCTGCCTGCCTCGGCCTCCCAAAGTGCTGGGACTACAGGTGTGACCCACCACGCCCAGCCTGTTTATGTTTTTAATCACTGATTTCATTCATTAGTACTGGTCTAGTCAAACACTTCTTTCTAAGTCAGTTGATCACATTTATTGCACATAATGGTTTAAATTTTTCACCCCTATATATGTGGTTATATTCTTTTCTTATTTCTAATGTGGTACTTTTTGGTTCTTTCCATTTTTAAAATTAGACTTGCCAGAGATTTATATATTTCTCTGGTCTTTTCAAATAATATAGTTTTGGGTTTAATTATTTTACCTGTGTTAAATTTGTTAACTTATGCTTTTGTTTTTATTAATTTTTCTCCATAACCAATTTTTAAAAATTTTTAGATATTTACATTTATTTTCATTTGGTTTTGTTTAAGACAAAAAGCTTTTCAATTCTTAGTTTATATGTTTAGTTATATTTCATACATTTTTCTTTACAGTGTTCTCACAGAAATTACTTACCAAATCTCAGTATTTCATTTTTATTTCTTATTTGATCTAAGAGTTATTTGGATCAAAACTGACATACCTTTTTTTTACTTTTTGTCTTTGACTAGTAATTTTTAATTTTATTGCATTATGATCAGAAAATATGACCTGAAAACATTTCATTGAAGTTTTCTCTGTCGATCAGTATATAAGTGATTATACCAGTCCCTGTTGGAATGCTTAGACATTTGAAAATGACATTTGTTGTTCTTTACCTGGTATTACATTTTTGTAGCATATTTTCTTCTCAAAAAGATAAATGCTACTTCACCTTCTTCTGGCATTTATTGTACTTGATAATCTCAATGTCAACCTGATTTTTTGTTTTATGATAACATTTTTAAAACGGAAAATTTCCCAGGATATTTTTAGGTATCGATCTCTATTACTAATTTTGTCTTGTTTTCAGTGAAGTTTTTGCATCTGAATCCTCTAGTCTTTTCCCTTTGTGGTGGCAAACACTTTCACTAGTATTTCTTGTGTTTGTGCCTCCTCCTTTTATAACTTCTTCCTAAAATCATTACAATGTGTATATTTTTCATCTTGGAATGCTCTCCTCTGATTTATGGGAGCTTTCTTTAGATCACTTTTATATTTATTCAGTTCTCTGCAGGGTCTAACCTTCAGGTCTTTGTTTTAGTTCAATTTTTTTTTAATTTGATAATCACCTTATCATGTATCTGAAGAACTGATCTCAAGGGAAAGATAGGCAATAATCTCTATTCTCTACTTTGAGAGTCACTCATTCTCAGGGAGGGGCTCATTTGCTTTGATTTCTTTGACTGCCTTCTTCTGAACTACTGAATCATTTCATAGACCAGATAGCATTTCTGCTTCCTTTTTTCCACTGGGAGAAGTGGGAGGAGTTGAGAATGTTTGTACAGCTGGGTGGAGATTGTATGAATCTCTGTTCAAGTTCATCTAGGATGATTTCTTCCTCAATCTGCTTCCATCCTGCTCTGCCTTACAGGAATTCTTCCAGTTTTCATGAATGTGGATGGCATCTTCCCTGATTTGCAGCACAGACCCATATTCTCCTCTATTTTTACAATCTTTTTTTTTTTTTTTTTTCCTTTGGTGGCTTCAACTGGTATGTGCAACATGGGCAGGAAGGTAGAGTTAGAACTTTTAGATGCAGAGAGAGAGACTCAGATTATCATGTTGAACCATAAGTGCACTAAACAGATACCAAAGAAAGCTCTGGTGGTGATCTGAGGTATTTCACGAACTCTAGTTTACAAAGAGCAACAGAAACTTCTGTTCTCATTCCTTCCTTTAAGTGTGTGTGTGCGCACAAACAGTATTGTGCACATGGAAGTCTTCTGCTTTACTCATTCTGTCTCCATCTCATTTTGTTTTGATTTACAGAAAGATGTAGACAAGGAGTTCTATTTGTTTCCTACAGTATTTGATGAGAATGAGAGTTTACTCCTGGAGGATAATATTAGAATGTTTACAACTGCACCTGATCAGGTGGATAAGGAAGATGAAGACTTTCAGGAATCTAATAAGATGCACTGTAAGTACTGCATCATCCATCAACCTACCAAGTTATTTTAGTACTACATATGTAATGCTTTTAACTAAACCAAAATGTGAATAGCTTTGCTCATTGATTATTTTTCAATAAATAATTACAATAGTGCCCTGGAGGTAATATCATTGGTTATTTGATGTGTCAGTCAATTACTCATTATTTCACTTAATTCAAGATATGTCAATTATATGAATGGTCCTTAAAGTGTGGTCCCTAGATCAGCAGCCTCAGCATCACCGAGGGACTTATTAGAAATGGAAATTCTTGGATCCCTATCCTGACCTACAAAATCAGAAACGTTGGAGATGGATCCCGGCCATCTGTTTTAAACCAACTCTGCAGGTGATCCTGATGAACACTACAGTTTGAAAACTACTGGATTAAATGCTTTTCTCATCTGTGGCTCAGTGATGACAGGCTCATCTGATTATTCAATATGCAGAAAGATATGATCTCAGCCCTCAATGATTCTAACCCTTGACTGCACATTAGAATCACCCGGGAGCTTTTAAAAAATGACCAGTGCCCGGAACACCCCCAGAGTTTTATTTAAATCTAACATTCGATTTTTTAAAATAACTATTGTAATTCTTAAAAGTGGTTAGAGCTCAGAGACAGTGAGACAGTGAGCTCATTATTCAAAAGGCCTACACCACTAATGGACAACAGTACAAGTTATTGTAGCTAGTAGAAGAAAAACATGTAAAGTTGTGTTACAAACTGATTTTTTAAAGTTAGACCAGTACTAGTCATGCTACCCACAATCTTTAAAATACTTCTTTTGATTCTGCATTTTTATATATTTGGAGGCACTGAGAATATTATTCTTTGGAAATAATTAAATATGCAAGGTAAGCAAGGAAAAAACTTCCTACATATGACCTTCCCTGTTAGTCAAGATGAATCAGAGACTTTTTCACCTGGAATAGCAACACACTTCCAGCATACGGTGCCCAGGAAAAGCTGTTATTATTCACAGATTTGGGTGTTCACAAATATAACCTCTTAAATAACTGGAAATAACAGAATCACTGTTTTAGCCAGGAAGAACAGTGAGATTCCCAGGTTGCTAGGGACACTAGCATAGAACTTCAAGAACTATGCATTCAGCTCTGCTCTTTTCAGCCAGAGGCAGCTCGGAAAGTGCCAGAACGGCAAGGAGTCGCAGGGACACTCCTGACACGTAAAGCGTAGGCAGGCCTGAATAGGTCTTAAATTAAAAATTAAAAAAAAAAAACAAAGTTGGTCTGGAAATTCTCGGAGGTTGTCACGTAGTAGAACCTAAACCACTTCCAAAATGTTATTTCCCTAGTTCTTAATTTAAAAATTAAAAAAAAAACAAAGTTGGTCTGGAAAGTCTCAGAGGTTGTCATGTAGTAGAACCTAAACCACTTCCACAATGTTATTTTCTAACTTTTACAGCCATGAATGGATTCATGTATGGGAATCAGCCTGGTCTCAGTATGTGCAAAGGAGATTCAGTTGTGTGGTACTTATTCAGCGCTGGAAATGAGGCCGATGTACATGGGATATACTTTTCAGGAAACACGTATCTGTGGAGAGGAGAACGGAGAGACACAGCAAACCTCTTCCCCCAAACAAGTCTTACTCTCCTCATGTGGCCTGACACAGAGGGTATATTTATTTAAAGCCAAGTCTCTATTGGATGGATTTGTGTAGTTTTGGTTTAAAATCCTGTAGCAGAATGTGCTAGGTGATAAACTTATCCCTTCCTCAAGCCTCCCAGTGCTCTTCCTATCATGGAAAAAGGAAGGCCGAGGGCAGTGGCTCACACCTGTAATCCCAGCACTTTGGGAGGCCGAGGTGGACAGATCACGAGGTCAGGAGTTCGAGACCAGCCTGGCCAACACAGTGAAACCCCGTCTCTACTAAAAATACAAAAATTAGCTGGGTATGGTGTCACACACCTATAGTCCCAGCTACCCATGAGGCTGAGACAGGAGAATCACTTGAAACTGGGAGATTGAGGTTTCAGTGAGCTGAGATCATGTCATTGCACTCCAGCCTGGGTAACAGATTGAGACTCTGTCTCAAAAAAAAAAAAAAAAACAAAACAAAAAAACAAAAAAAAAAAAGAAAGAAAGAAAGAGCAAGTCTGGGCCGCTATCAGCTCAAGTATGTACCAGATAGGTCTGTTTCCTAGTTATTGAGGAGAATGTGGAGTAAGAAAGTAACAGGCTGTGGTTTTCTCTGTTTCCACCATAGGCTCCTCAAGATGATTCCCTTTTTTTTTTTTTTTTTTTTTT